ATAGTTCTTCTGAGATTTTCTTTTCTTCTTTTAGCTGAATGCCTCAAGATGCTTCCATAAAAAAACCCATAATTTACTTATAAAAAACTGTGTATTTATTCTTACATGTTTAAACTTCAGTCGCCGTCAAAGTACTCCCAGCTAATGCAATACACCTCTGGAGACCCTTTTTCCACCCCAGGCCCACTGTCAACTACCCACCTGGGGACAGTTTTTGAATTTGTTGATTTTGATGCCTTTTAGTGCTTCTGCCATTTTTTGTTTCACCTCTTCCACATCGGCAAAACACTTATTTTCATCCAGGGAAACAAACAAACAAGAAAGTATCTTGGGGTGAGATCTGGTGAATAGGAAGGGTGTGGTATGGATCATGCTGTTTTGGGTCAAAAACTGCTGAAAACTAAGATGCCCTCGTAAATCACCCATCATGAAATGGGCAAATGCATTGAAAGAATCTCCAGGAAAAAAAAAATCCCCTGAAATTGAATGTGGCCTCTCACGACAATACTAGCTGTCAACACTGATGCTGATGTTTTCCTAGAACACTCACCAGGTGGGGGAAACTTATACTACGAGGGGTCCACCCTTAAAAAGATAATTCCGGGTTTTTTTGGGTCCCCCTTATACTCTTTAGTGAGATATGAATTACTTCCTTTTCCCTCTTAAGGTTATCTTCATTCTAGGCCCAAGTTTAATTTAAGGAGTAAATGGCTCTCTTTAAATGACTCTCAACTTAAGCCATTCGAGAATGGTTATTTTTGACAAAGTTTTCTCAGCATCCTTGGAATTACACCGATACATCTGTAGAATAACCTTGTACTTCATTTTAAAAGAGGAGTATGAATTATTATGCAAAGGACATGTCAATCTCCCAGACCATGAAACCATTTATTTCCATCCCCATAGTTGGTGACATAGACAGGGAGACCAATTTGTTTCACTTTACTCTTTCTTATAAGCTTAGCCTTTGAGGAAAGTTCTTCCAGCAAGTGGCCACCTCTGGATGTCTATAGGCCAGGATTTTCTCCTTCCTCCCAGAGAGGCTATTATTGAATGCCAAGGAATCTATGTCCCTGGACCATAAAAATGGCCAGAGGGGGTTTGGTAATGTCTGCCCCATGTTCTCTGTGTCAACATGGATTTAAGGAAAGTACATCCGTTCTACCAGCCGACAGCACAGTCTGGCAGGCATCTTAAGTCTGGAAAAGTTTGCTACTTTGCTCTGGGTTCATAACAAAGAAGTAACTCAAGGAAGAGATGACGTACGTTGAGCCCTTATGTGGCAGAAATGCAGATAAAGGCCTTACATTCATTATTTCATTTTGTCTTTGTAATAACTCGAAAAGTAGACAATCACCCCCATTTTTAAACCAAGAAAAAAGCACAGAAAGTTAGTCACTTGCCCAAGGCCACACATCTGGTAAAATGAGCTGGATTTCAAAGCAGGGCAGGTGAACTTGGGACCTTCCTTCTGGTCACAATGCAACGGCTGCCTCCAGTAAATCACCGCGAGGGGGCTCTCTGCCATCATCCAAGTCCGTTAAAAGAAGAAGTTTTATTTTTTTCCATCTTGGAAAGTGGGGGGTAGGACGCTATTCATACATTTTTCTTCCTCCACATTTTCTTTCTGTCTAAATGCCGAGGTTCCTTCAATATTGGAGAGTTTCAGACCAACATAAATGTGTCTACCAGTATAAGTCATAGTAACTCCCACAAAACTCCCCAAAAGAAGCCACTATACTACCAATAAAACAACGTGCTCAATAGTAGGAGCCAGATTTTTCTTCCTGGGGCAGTAAAAAAAAAAAAAAGATGGTTTTAAGGGAAATTAACAAAAAAGCTTGAGGCTTCCATCACTAAGAATGCAGTGTTACAATTAAGAAGATCATTGGGTGCACATGGTCACAGCATATAATGGGAATTCCCTTCATAAATTGCAGATCATCCAAGCCTCATCTTAGATCTCAGGGAAAAGCTCAGAGAATTCATGGGCTCATTTTTCTCCTTTCCATGTCATCTGACAAATAAAGTGGCAAAGCAATTGTGATACAATGTCATAGGACAAAGACTCCATATCTAATGTTGACAAGTGACACCTGGGAATTGCAGGGCTAGAGATTCCTGTTCAGGCTCTGACATCTAAGTCTGAATGTATGATGAGGATGGGCCCCATATAAACAGGCATCTTTGACTGGTTGAGCATACAAAAGACAGGGAGGAAAAAAAAGTAAAAAACTAAAAAAACTTCATCTTGGAGAATCACAGAACTTAAAATGTTTCATGGACAAAACGTGAGAGCAACAAAAATACGCAGCAGCAACCAACTCAGAGTCACATAGGTCTGTCCACAGGCTCCTGTGGGCTGGGCCACTGAAGCAGACACCATGAAGAAATGTGATGCCCAGGCCCATGACTCAGTGAAAAGAAGAAAATGTGGCAGAAAACTTCAGGGAAAGGAGAGAGGGAGGGAGGGGGGAAGTAAAAACACAACTCAGGAAGAATCCTGAGGCTCCAGATGAGGCTCAAGGGAGAAAACCTAATGGGGGTTAAGGCAGGTTACACTAGAGCAGTCATAGAGCTTAAATGCACTTTATATTTAATTTCCTTGACAACTTTAATTTGCTGTCGAGGAAATTAAATATAATGTGCATTTATAATTTGCAGTAAGGATTTAGGGAAGCTGGGTGCCTCATCAGCCAGGGCCTGCTGGAGTCTTGTTTTTTTTTTTTTTAATCTTTACAAAACACAAGATGCTCAGGGACAGCAAAAAGGTAAATTTTGGAATGGAATGTATATATTTCTAAAAGGTCCCCAATTGCTTGCGACAGGAAGCCAGTGTGGAGGAACTGCCCTAAGCCACTGTAAACCAACATCTCATCTGTAACACCTTAGGAAGGTTGAGCCAAGCAGGATTTGAGAAGGGCCAGGAAGCAAGAAAGGACACGGAGTGAGAATGGAGACTGCTCAAAAGGTTGAGTAAAGGTATAAATGAAGACAAATTTGGCATCAGGTTGGCTTGGCTATACAAAGTCATTTTAGATGTAATTTCTGAGTTTTCAAAACACAAACCAGCTGGATATAGTGGCTGATGCCTGTAATCCCAGCACTTTGGGAGACCAAGGTGTGGTGGTGTACGCCTGTAACTCCCAGGTATTTGGGGGGATGGCTTGAGCCCAGGAGTTGGAGACTGTGGTGGGCTGTGATCTTGTCCCTGCACTCTAGTGTGAGTGACAGTGAGACCCTGACTCAAGTAAACGAAACCAAACCCCAAAACACTAAAACCCCCAACAAAAAGCAAACCAGAAGAGAATCTATCCTTTGCACTCTCTTATTACAGACAATTGTTAGCATATTCACATGCAAAGAAATAAAGTGAGACGCTTTGTGGGCAGGGTATGTTCGTTTTCTGTGTCTGTCTTTGCACTTTTTACGCTGATAATGCCTGCTCCCCACCCCCGTGGCATTTTCAGTTTCACTGGCTCTTGGGAGTATTTTCTCCTGCCTACCCATGTCCAGATGGGCAAAAGGGTATCATGAAGTAACTTAAGGGAGTCATCTAGGAATACAGCACAACTCTTTTCTGGATGCCAGCTGAGCATGCCTATGTGAATGTGCCTACGTGTGTCTAGTTTCCACCCAGGCTAGCATGTGCCAGGGGGAGAGGCAAGCGGGATGGGTATCAATAGGAAATAATACTAAGACATTTGCATTTTGTTTTTTTTGTTTTGACATTTATTTCTAGCTGTTTCCCACCAACCCTCCTCTTCTTTCCAACTCCTCCCATACCTGCCCAATCTGCTTGTTTACGCAGATGATTATGATAAAAAGAGTTTTTCCTAAATATGTTCTCAGTGACAGCAGGGGAAAGGCATCACTAATGGGTTTTTTTTTTTTTAAACACTCTTCATATTAATCCTTTCATAAAATTTGAGAGCTGGCCATGCTGTAATTGCTAACAAATACACATTATATGAATAAAAAAAAATTATCTTAGCAAGGCAATTGGCTTATAATTTAGTTCACAAGAACAGGTGCCTTTATTTTCTTTTCTTTTTTATTTTTATTTTTTGTGAGTTGGAGTCTCACTCTGTCGCCCAGACTGGAGTGCAGTGGTAGCTCCCGGCCACCGTAGCCTCACCTGCTGGGCTTCGGCAATCCTCCTGCCTCAGCCTTCCATGTAGCCGGAATTACAGGCATGCGCTACCACGCCCAGCTGATTTTTTGATTTATTGTAGAGATGAGGTCTTGCTGCCCAGGCGGGTCTCGAACCCGCGGACTCAGGCAATCCACTCACCTCAGCCTCCCAAAGGCGCAGGATTACAGGCTGAGCCACCGAGCCCGGCGAACAGGTGCCTTTAAAAGCATAATTAACTTAAGACTGGGTTCTTACCTAGCCAAACCGCATCTCTATCTACGCTTCTCTGAAAAGCCGAGACTGCAGTCTTTCCCTTCCACCTACTGTCCTCCCAGGAAGTATTTCACAGCCTCGCCTGCTTTGCTGAGTGTCCATGCCAGCCCAGAGATGGCTGTTCTGCTACAATACTCACCCAAGTCACTTCCCTAGAACAAACGGGTGATGCAATAAGTTGCAATTGCTTTTCCATAAAAATAAATTGACATCATATGAGCAAATCTTCTTTCCAATCTAACAGGGCATAAAACTAGTCTGCTAGATGAGGGCACATGCCATGAAGAGTACTTGAGTGGAACACATCACTAATATCAGTAGAAAGGTAATTATTAATTGACTTGCTTCACCCATGAGAAGGAATAGAAAATACTTAACTCTGCTGGATATTGCCTAAATTAAGGTCAATTCTTTAGTCTTCTTGATATTTCGAGTTTTTTCCATTAGAACATATATAATGAAACTTTATCATGCTAATCTTTGTTCCAAGGCTTCCCTTAGGCATATGGGATTTTTCCATCAGTATCAAAAATGTGGTGATGTATACCCATTTGGTAGTGTTTTATGGACTTCACAAATAACTAAAACAAACTTTCATCACAGTTCACAGTTAAAATATTTAATGACAAAATTAGGTTTGCTTAATAGTGAATCAATAGAGCAGGTGTTACTTGACTCTGAATTAAACAAAAATTATTTTTGACATCTTAGAGAACTTCTGAAGAATTAATAACTGTACAACAGACATCAGCAGTGTCACAATTCTGAAAAGTAAGAGTGAAACCTATCTTTAATGTCCCTTATTTAGGGTATCCTGTAAATATTGTTACATAAATGCACAAACTCTGCTAGCCACAAAAGTAGTATTAAAACAGATTTCACTGTAATTTTAAGTCTAACACATAATCTTAACTTTTTCAGAGCTTAAAAAAAGTTAACTACTGATCTTGTTACATTTTACAAATACATTCTTTAATATGAAACATTAACCTGAATAACTGCATACTTCCTGTACACAGATATCTAATAATACTAGTGAGGAATGCTACAGCTATGTTCCAGGAAGAAGTGGTAACACTGGAAAGTTTCTTTTCTCGATGCATTGTCAACACAATTTGAGAAGTCCTTCACAGAAATATAGTATCCCAAAATTCATAGTGAAGTACAGAAATGAAACAAGCAGAAATGAAATGTCTTCTAGCAAGCTCAACCACACAAACTGGTCCCAAGTGATGTGAGTGATTTTAGCAATTTTCTCTAGGTTGGATTCTATTAACATTTTGTACGGCAGCACCTTCTACAAAAGGACAGTAAAGGACTTTACTTGTGTTATCACTGGGCTCCTCTGCAAGATGCTGGGAGGTAGAGGATGGGCAGAGATTGCTGTTTTGGCCTCTCTGGGGGAAGCCTAGGTAGGATGTTAAGATAGGAAGGTCAAAGGCATGAACATAACCAGAAAGCTAGTCAATAGATGAGGCTAATGAAGATACCGAAGGCTGGTCTTCTAATCGAGGCTATTTCCAGTAAACTGTAGTTCTAAAAGGATAAACAGAGGGAGTAAGGAAAGAGGGCAAGATGTGGAATACTCATATTTATCAAGAGTAACTATCACAATTCTACCTGGGAGGAAGAATCTCAGATTTCACAGTATGCTTATGACCTCATCCCCTGCTGCTTTAGAAGCAACTTCCCAAACACTGTTTTTAGATAGCTTGCAACCAATTTTATTCTTGAGTTTGGCCGATTGTCAGGGGGTTTTAGATTTATCCTTTCAATTATTTATACCAACTATCTATCTCTGAAACCAGAATCCAATTTGGGAAGATGAATACATCCGTGTGTGTGTGTGTGTGTGTGTGTGTGTGTGTTCTGAACTAAGGTCTGCAAGCAAAATCTATTTGGAATGATATTTGGGGCTTGACTTAGAAATTGTAATTGCTTCTAATGTTACTCACCAAATGTCATGTTGCTTCTTTAAACTTTTAAGATACCAAAAGAAAAGTACAAAATATTATAGTAAACTTATATAGTTTATGTACATTTTATAGAGTTTTCTTGAATTGGATCATCTCTCTAAGAGGATTCAGAAATTTACCCCTGGAAAATCCCATCTCCCTTTTGACATGCACTGCCTAATATTTTTTCCTGCCTAATAGACAAACTTTCTGTCTCCCTGGGAAGGCATTATTAGGAGAACATAAGCTATTTAAATCAGCATTAACAAATCCAAAAGCCATCTTATGCTGCTATTGTCAGAGGCTACGATACTTATAGACTCAATTGGCTCAATGGCTAGAAAGGAATAGAAAGAGGTCCTGAAGATTCAGGCAGCTTAAAAGTCAATGTACTTGCAATGAGAGAGGCTGACAATGTGTCTGAGATGTGCAGCTTGCTTCCTTGCTTCATTTAAAAAAAAGCAAAAAAACAAAACCAAAAACACAGCTTTTATGTTTTAGCATTTTAACCTTCTAGGAAACAAAGCATCTAGACTCTAAACCCTATATTATGTTGATATCTTGAGTTAACAGGAGATCAGGAGGTGTGTGACCAACTTTATTTAATCTGACTGCAATGTAAAGGCTTTGTGACTGTGGGTTTTATGTCAGACCAGGCAAGTCACAATTACCATGAAATGCAATTTGTCAAGAAACTCCCATGTTAAATTACGTTAAATAAATAGATAGCAGTAACAACATCAAAACCAGATACCAAGGAACTGAAGGCAGCTTCCCAAGGACATTGTAAGGCTGTCTCTAAAACAGACATGTTTTTGTAAAAGGACAAAGATTTTAAATGTAGTATCTTTTCACATTATTATTGACACAGACCTGTATCTGGACAAATCAATTTTTGAAAAAAATACAAGCTCTTTTCAATACCACCTACCATAATTGAGACAATGACAAAAGAGAGAAACATCTGTGCATACACAGAGGGTTTTAAAAGCTTTTCCTTAGGTCTTTACTCTCAAATTTTTACCCTTCATATGATAATTCCAAATAATCAGCTTGGAAACAAGTAGCAGGAGTATTTAAACTGCAACTCAGAAAGTAGATTTCTATCTGTGATTCTGATTTGTTTTTTTGAATGCTGGTGATGGTTCATGCAGAAGATTACTATGCAATGAGCAAAATCTAAGACTGCTGTTTCTCCTGATAAATCCAAGTGTTTTCCATAATACAGAATTTTAACCTTCAAATTAAGAGTAACTAGGAGAGTGACTGAAACCAATCACTACTTGACTTTTATTTTCATCTAGGAACAATGGCATTTGATGTGTCACCACATTAGAATGCCTTCTTGCTCAATATAAAAGGAAAAAAATACATGTTGCCAGTTTCGACCCAGCTCAGTTTATCATTTGGTCCAAATTCCATATTCAAACTACAAAAAAAATTTTTTTAAAAAAGAAACCCATTCAAACACGCACACACACTGGAGAAAAACAAAGCCAAGATGAAGCTAATGCTATTTTGTAGCATTTCTTGCAAGATCATTTGGGAAATGTATAAACACAACACCTTTTCTTTCATATTAATGTCTGAAAAGGAAAAACAAAAACCCTAAATGTCCAAATACTGGAAAAAAAGAAGCAAGCGGAGGTCCAGAATTCTTGTAAAAACTGCTCACAATATCTTCCATTTATCTTAAGAGGGTCGCCAGCATAGGCAGTTTCTCAACACTTGTGCTTCATGGCAAGCTAAGAAGGAAGAGAAAAATGAGAAAAGACCTTATTAGCAGGACAATTACACTGTGTTCTTCTCTCTGCACATCCACAAGGAGAAGCAGCCCCAAGATTCTACTCTGTGGCAGATCACCATTACTATTTACAGTGGCACCTAGCAAATGTGCAACATTTTCTCAAGATAGTTCATTGAACGTTCCATTTGCTACTCTTCCTTACAGTAATTTGTCTGGTGCTTGTGTCCAGGTGGGAGAGAATGTGGTGCTTTTTTATCCCACTGAAGGAACACAGAGAAAAACCAATACACAGGCAGAATGAGTAACTTACCCTCAGAACAGCTGGACTTCCCAAGATACTAGCTTTCCAGAGAAAGCAACAGCCCTGAAATGTAAGTACTCACTGATGGCTCATGAAGAATTAAAAATCAACAGCTTGTAGAGAGATGACCTGTAACAATCTACTCAATATCGAGCCTGGACATTCAGCCAAGTCCAAAGCACTTGACAATTTGTGTTATTGATGAGGGCTAAACCATATACCAAATCCTACCTTGGTCTACTCCTCCTCCTCTGCTGGTGGTTGGAACACATGGTCCCTTGAAACGTTAGATGTTTATAAAGGTGATCAGATCCCACTGTATCGTTCCCAAGCCCAGGTGGAGCACATGATGATATGTAGGTATAAAACATAAAGTTAAAAATTTGTCTCTGCTTTCTTAGCCAAGTCTTTTCCAGAGTCCAACACTGATGGGAACCAGAAGGCAGAACAGAGGTTGAATTGTAATTCCTCATGTACGCTGAGTCTGTTGTTTAGGAATTAATCTCTATGGTTTGGGCTGGATGCAACTGGGGTTAGGATTCTGTGGCCCAGAAATGCTTTGCACAAAGAAAAGGTGATTCTCTGCAGACATTAACTTTGTAGAAAGCCCCATCACCTGCATTCTGACCAGGTTCTCTTTTAAGAATTTGTAGGGTGGATCCCAATGATTCTACCCAGTAGTGCTCTGTATCATTCTAGAAGACATCAATAACCCATTTCTCCAGCAAAAACCAGGGCAGTCTGAGTCTTTCCTTTCTCTTCTTGGTATCTTCAATAAAGAAGCTAGAACCTTGGGGCTGCCATTTCAGGTAGGCCACCAGCGAAGCAGTATCCACACTCATAATCTCTGCTTGGGAAACCTCAGCAGAAGGAGCTCCTGGTATTTCTGTCTGGTGATGCCTGTGAAGACCTCACAGATCTTCTGCAGTGCTGATGCCAATGGTCAGTCAAGTGCCCAACACAGGGTTTGTGAAGTATATGCAAGATGTCATACTGAGTGCTATGGGTTTTTGCCAAGAAGGATAGAGGTGGCTAATGACTCCTGACTTCAAAGAGTTTACAGTCCAGAAACACAGTTGGTACAAATGGAAGAACCAGGGCTCTAGCTCAGATCTGTCCCATTCCTAGTCATGCTCTGAACCCTACTACTGTATGGCCTCCACTTCTTGCTCTGCCTTTAGTTTTTATATATTATTCAGCAACGTAGACTATCAAATCAACACAGAGCGGTTAAGTGTTGTGCATAATAAATACCAACCATAAATAATTGATTAGTGCTGCTGTCCTGGTATTCACTGAGCTGTTAACTTTCAACTAATGGGCTTATGCCAACTTACCCACAGCTATTAATCTTTAGCAGTGATTGGCCACTGCTTAAACCAGACCCTGGTTATTACAACAGTGAATCTGGAGTGGAGTTAAGGAGAGCCACTTGGCCACAATCAGCCAAGTTTTGCAGAAATATGGCTGGATTGGACATTTGCTATTTGAAGCACTGCCATGGTTGAAACCTAACGCTTAAGGTGACAGTATTAGAAAGTAGGGCCTTTGGGAGGCTCTGCCCTCATGAATGGGATTGGTGTTCTTATAAAGAAGCTGAAGAGAGACTCTTTGCCTCTTCCACCATGTGAGGACATGGTAAGAAGGTCCCATCTATGAGCAAGGAATCAGCCCCCACCAGACACTGAATCTGCCAGTACCTTGATCTTGGACTTCTCAGCCTCCAGAAATAAATTTCCATTGTTTACAAGTCATATAATTTATGGTGTTTTGTTATAGCAGCCTGAATGAACTAAGAAAGTGGTATTATTCTATTTTTTTTAATGCCCTAGGGATTAGGAGTTTTGGAATATGGAAGGCAGGAAGGTAGAACTGAAAGAGCACTGGATTAAATGAAGTCAGGATACCTGCTGCTACAAATCTGCTGTATGACCTTGAGCTCTAAAGTCACAGCTGCTCCATATCTCACCTTCCTTCATATGTCTATTAAAAAGTCTCCAACTCTAAATGCTGATACATTAATTTAGGTGGCAGAGTTCTTAAATTTTAAATTTCTCTTTGATATGTTATGTTTTCTTAATATCTTATGGAAAGCTTTCTCTTTCGATGCTATATAACCTACTCCACTTAAATTACAATAATAAAAAACCATTCCTGAGATCAAAGAGATAGTTTGTGAGACCTGAGCTCTTGAGGTCCTTTTTGGTCTAGAGACCCAAGGGAAGCAGTTGACTGTAGTATGAATAGAGACAGACATTCCCTCCCAGTGAGAGAAATGCCATGCACCCATCCTTCCCCCACAAATGTAGGCTTGTGCAAAACAAGGCAGCAAATCAATGTTCTTTTTGTGGGAAATGTCATCCGAGGATGCCTAGGTGTGGGTAACGTCTTGCCTGCTGACTCACCGCCTGTGGCGGGCCGTCAAAGCACTGCACAGCCTGCAACATTGTCCTTTTTGGGGCAGGGGAAAGTGAGCAGGCCTGCTTCTGTGATTGAGTTGCACTTTCCTAAGAGCTGGGACTGAGCCAAGCCCACAGCACAGGAAGGAACCATACTTCCTCAGGTCAGGCTAACTGGCGCTGGGAGGGGAGGGGAGTCCTGGCAGAGGAGGGGAGGATCATTTCCCATCTGCGCTGTAGAGGACAAGCACCTACATGTCTAAAAGGCAGGGTTGTGCAAATGTGATCTATCTTCTCTGTGCCTGGATCATTGCAGGTGTCCTGGGCAAAGTCAAGAGACCAAAAATCCTTTCCTGCTCAGCCTAGAAAGGTGTGCCATATCTCTGACTGGGGTTGGGTGTCCTTATTAAACTGGGAGCTTGAGGAGCTGTCACCTGCAACAGCCATCCTCTGCCCAGGACTCTGCCATGTGCACTGTGCCTCTACTTGTAAACACAGCCCATCCTTTATGAGTCAGCAGAACCACGCTTGCTGTGGAAGACCTGGGTTCCATTTCTGAACTTTCCCTTCCCCAGCAGGCCTGGCTGGGACTTGGCCAGTGAAATGATATCTTCATGGTCAGCCTATACTAGCAGGTCCAAATCAGGAGCGCTAGTCCCTGGGAAAACTGCCTCACCTTATCTAAAGAGGTCAATCTGCTTGTCAGGAATATTGCCAATGCCAGCGATTCTGAGGCACACATCCCAGCTTCAGAAAACTGCAAGTCTGGCTATGGCATGGTCTTTCTCACACTCCCTCACACACACTGACAGACACAGCTGCTCCTCTGCCTCCCCGAGAAACATCTATGGGAGGGGAGACCAAAATACATACAAATCCCCTGCCTCATCCCTTTCTACAGAAGGCAGGTAACTGCCTGGCAGGGTTCTCCCACTGGTCAAGTCAGAGGCCCCTTTGCCTTTGGTGTCCTCATCAGTTTCTGTTGACAGGTCCTGTTTCAAGGGCTGCTCTGTGTTTAGACAGTATCAACATTTAGCAGGAGGCTCTTTTACCCTGCTGTCCCTTTGAGTTTGGAAGGCACAAAATCTTCACTTCTATTCCTTCCCTATGTGTTAAGGATCCTCAATCACCAGTAACAGTCCTTCAATCCCTCTACAGTACTCATTATGTGAGTGAATAGGGCAGGGTCCAGCAGAAACAATTTTTATGAAAATTATAAACAACAGTCATTTAGATTTTTACATGTGCTACACACAGCTTTACACTCATTCACTTCTCTCAACATCCTAGGCGATAGATACTATTATTAATTAGCTCTGTTTTACTGATGAGGAAAATGAGGTTTAGAGAAATTAAGCACTTGCCCAAGGTCACCAAGATGATAAATGACAGAGATAGATTTAAATACAAGATGTTAACTACTGTACCATTCTGCCTTCCCAACAACCTAGCAAACTTGGCCACAATATCAGGGAAACAGGCTACCAGAGCCAAGAATTCAGGCCATCTGGTTAGGTTATCCAATCCAGTGTTTGTACAACCCCCTCTGAGAGGAACGCCTACATGGATGATGTCCAGATATTGTCTACTAAACCTTAGGAAGAATGATTTTACAGTCTTCTGAGGTAACCTGGTTCACGGTTTAATCATAAACCTAGATTCTTGTTTTAGCATAATTTTATTAGTGCACTATTGATTGCTCTATTCTGTGGGGGAAGACATGAAAGATAATTGCCTGCACTATCACCCTTTCCAGACTTGACAACAAGTTATAAAGTTATTCCTGTCTCTTCCCCAACTGAACACTTTAAATGTTTCCCCAGATTTCTACTGTCCATTCTCTATTTAAACCATGGAAGTTGCAATGTAAATGAAGCTGGGGCTAGATTTCTAGCACTTTCATCTCATATTATCTCTATAGCACAAAGGCTAGAGGTCATTCTCTCTGCACAGCCACAGCAATCTGAGGCCCTCGTCTCTAGCAGGACTGCCTGTATTTTCGGAGATCTGCCTAATACTCTCCCAAGGAACTCCAAATGGGCTCTGACTGCAGTTGTGCAGTAAGACCCTGTCATGACAGAGAATTAATGACACTGCAAGACAGGACTGGGGCAAAGGGGGTATAGGAAGAGAAGAAAGTATCCACCCAAATTGGATCCCCAGTTGGACCTGAGTGTGGGTCTCCAGAGGAGGCTACCTTGGCTCAACTGGGGACATTTTTCTCATTGCTTTTTAGGTTATCCATTCTTGTTTCCTTAGCAGAAGTGGGCCTTCTGTTAAAGCCAGTTAATCTTTTGTCCCCCAAAGGTGACCTGAAAAGTGTTATCTGAAGGGCCAGATCACGAGTCTGACATGCCAACACAAGTCATCAGGAGACACTGTTTCTGGAAACTAAAATTCAAATCACTAACCAGAAAAGAACTGCCCTTTGATCTGAAGCACAGGAAGAGTAATAAATCCTCTTTATCACCTGACCAACAGATCCTCTCTCTCCCTTAGTTTGTGACTGCCTTAGACAGCCGGCTGCCAATAAAAACTCCCCCTTTTCCTCCTGAAAGGCACGGTTCTTAGCGAGTGTGTGAGTGCATACAGTGCATTCAGTCACACAGGGGATGCCATCCTCTGGATTCAGAGGCAGAAGGGAATCTTGCTGGCAGCTGGGCAACAGTCTGGTCAAGCTTAGAGTTCCAGCATTAAGGCCCTGAAATGACAATTGGCCCCTCTAAGAGGGAAAACTAGCCCTGAGGTACATTGTGCCCTGAGACTAGGACTTGCTTTGAGTCTGGTGAAGAGATAAGAACACAGGATGCTAGACAGGAATGGGACAGGATGGAAAAGTAAGCACTAGAAGCCTAAAGCCCTCCATGCATTGGCCAACAGAGGGAGATATTATACGACCTGAGTTCTTCCACTACCCAACACCCCATCCTGTGCCCTGAAACTTGAGCCCTAAGTTTCTGGGCAGGAACTAGAGATAGTCCACATTGTCTAAAGATCCAGGGTCAGAAGGTCAGAGAAAGAGATGAGGACATCAGGAAAAAGATAACCAAAAAAACCAGAAGAAGAAATTTTTCATGACTCTGGTACTTAGTATTTCATGGGATAGGGGAGGAAAAAACATGCTTGATTTTGTATCTCCCATCACGGGAAACTACTGAAATAAAGTTTCTTGGCACTGCAGCTCCCTGACGACCCAGAGCTGTGACCCCTGTCCCTCTGCCCACCTTGTGCGCAGTTTCCGCAAATTGCTGGGCGCTGTTCTTCAGCTCTTCTGTCTTCTCCTCAGCTCGGCCTAACCGTTCTCCGCGCTCATTCAAGGCCTGGCTTGCCTTCTGTACTGCGCTGGTTACGCTATCGGCAGCTGAATGCAGGATGCTGTTTCCTGAAAGGAGAGCAAGAGGGTCAGAAGCTGGGTTGGCTGACTTATGGTTACCAGATCCCTGTGCATGTCCTGTAAGAGGAAGGCAAGTCACACTACAGAAAGGCCTCTAGTTTAGTGTCCAGTAAACAAGTTGACATGTCTTCTGACCCACTTGTATCAGGAACACCAATGACTGCAGGACAAAGAATTTGGGACAGTCCTAAATGCTTCTCTATACTCCCATCACTGACGTCCCAGTCATTTCCATTCTGCCAGTATTCTATCTGGTGAGGTGTAAAAGCATAGGGCCTGTCTGGATTTAGGACTTGGTCAACAAACATAAACGAATACTTTGACAAGTTCACAGAATTAGGCACTTTCTGGATCTTATGTGCATGCCTTTTTGACTTGTGATTTAGGTGAATAACTAGGGAAAATCTGTGGCTATACAACTTTTCCAGATACAACGCTCTGTATTCTTTTCAATACTTCCCTCCATTTCACCCTTTCATCTAGCAAGTAAGCAAATCCCCAAATGTAGGAGCTGTGAATCTCAAAGTTCCGAATAAATGTGTTAGCTCCCAACATTGAATCTTGTGCCATGGATGGGTGGGCTTCTTCACCCCTTATCTCTAGGATGTCAGATATGAAGCTTCTGTACAGAACTTAACCAACAGGCAGAACACAGTTATAGAAACCAGCCCTAGGAGAAACTTGGTACTCCCAAATCAGAAATGATGAGACCAAGAAAGTTGGAAATTGTCACATCTCATTTCCTGATATTCCATTTGCCAGGACTGGGCAGCAAAATTCAATAGTGAAGAATTTGCAGATGCACAAGCCACTGAGAATTAGCAATTTGCAATACGACAGTCAAAGAAAATTTATAGCTGTATTTTGTTAACATTAAGTGGAAGATATTTAATGACATTTTATATAATAGCTTTATGTCTTTGAATAAGTTTATTACATCATTTAACTTTGTACCTGGGATGGATACATCTAGCCACAGACAGCTTTTAATAGAAACACAATTTCCCCTGGTCTCAGCTGCAAAGGCTTCCTAATTTCTCCTCTGTGGAAACAGTCTGTGGCTTGTGGAAAAGGATCTCAGGCAAAGAAAAGTACCTGGCCTGGAGGAAGCACTTAGTAAATGGTTTTCCATTTTTCTTCTTTAGGGGTGGATTTCAAGGGTTTCAATTATGTGCTAAGGGAAGGAGAATGGGGTTGACTTAGTGTTGCTCAGTTGCATCAAGCACTAAATGACTCAAACCAGCACAGATCAATAGAGAGCTGAGGAGATTCAGCGACAGAGAAATCTGTTTGAATGCAAGAGTTGGAATGGAAGGTCTCGGTCATAAGAACAGATTCTGGGGGAGAATCTTGGTCCCCCTTCGCTTTCACATCATACTCATGCCTATGACAGCCTACTACCACTGCTTAACATTTGAATAACATTTTGTAATTATAAAGCACCTTGACAAATATGATCTCCTTTGACTGTCACAATTCTCTGAGAAAACTGAAAGTCGTAAAGGTTAAGAGGCTTGCACGAGACCACATCACTAGGGAAGTGACATAGCTAGCACTGGAGTCTGGCTTTTCAATGACTTTTCCTTATTCTGTACCTTGTTTTTTGCAGATGTGGTACTGGTCCAGGGAAGCAGTCACTATGACAGAATTGTGGGTAGACTAGCATACAGATAAGTTTTGACAGGTTATTTCCCAAGGTAACGCCCGACTGTTTCTGTCCTCAAGGTACAGAAAAGGAAAATTAAGAGTTATTGCCCATGTCACATTGCAAGTCAAGTGTTCTCAAGAGGGAATAGGCCAATGGGGTGAAATAGGAAGATGAAGAGAGGATTGGAAGGTGCAGGAGAGTAGGGAAAGGGAACAAGAAAATCTCCTTTTTCTGCTTTCTTCCATATACCCACAGCCTAGCCACCAGAGGATTGGGAGAAGATAGGGCAGGGAATCTGTAATTTTACAGCTAGGAATAGCTGTACTAAATCAAAAGGATTTTGGAATTAATTTCAATAAAATTAAAAGGGTATATAACCAAGACCTGTCTTGTTCCATTGAAATTGACCCACATGATCTTCATATCTGTGTTTCTGGAATGAACTCACCACAAATAAGTCATACTGCTTTCTTTTCATGACTTCCTTGAAATTAATCTTGTTCATGATGTCAGGCAACACCATACCCAGTTTTATATGATACTGTTTAGCTAAGAGTCATCACAACCAAAAGGGAACCAAACCAAATGTTATAACTAAAAGAGACCCAAATGCTGTTTCCACTATTCAAAGTTGACACCACTATTATCAGTAGGAAATCCACCTTCAGCTATTTTCAGGCATGAAGGTCAATTTGAACAAATCTCACTCCCTCAGTTGAAATGACCTCTCCAGTTTTAATTCTATGCACATTTGAGACCTAGTGAAGTCTCATCACCTTGATAATTATCAAGCATCAGGTCAATTGTAGTCTCTCCTTTCCCCCAACTCTGTAAGTACAAACTATCCTTCTTAGGCACTTAATCTAGTATAATCATGGGCAACTCCTCTCCTACCAGACTTATTCACCTGTGGATGCAATGACTTCCCAGTTGGATTACAAATTCCTTGAGTGCACCATTTCACTCTGTTAACCATTCCCTAAGTCTTTATTCTTTCTTCTCTTTTGACTTAGATCTTCTCACTTATTTTCTTCTATCTGGAATTCTTTGGCTCATACTGTAATCCCAGGGTTCTGTCCTTCACTCTCTTCTCTTTTGCATGCTGCAGACTCTGTGGGGCAATTTTATCTGGCTAATGGTTTCAAAGACCAAATTCTTACTTTTCACTAGGTTGTGCTGCTGAGCTCCAGATCCAACTGAATGAACCAAAGTCATCTCAAATTCAGCATGTCTAAACCTGACCTCATTATCTTTCCTTTTGCACCTGCTTTTCCATTGAGGTCCCCTGTTCAGTGAATAACCCCAATATTTGTCCAGCTCTTTAATCTAGCTAGAAATCTGGGAGTCTAGGTTGGGCTCCTCTTTTACCTCATCCAACTAAGGGTCAGCTCTCTACACTCTGCCCTCTTTAACATCCTCATTGCCTTACACATACACATATCATTACCACATCTCTGATAATTACTAAAAATAAAATTGCTGCCTCAAAGGGCATAAACATTTTTGAGGCTCTCAGTGTATGCTGAAAATGGCTTCCCTGAAGAATTTAACAGTCAAAACTAATGACGAAGTATACAGCATGCGCCAGGCACTGTCATGTTGACACAATAGGTGGAATGATGTTGAGGGAGTGAGTTAATTTATCTGATCTGTAAAATGTGGCTCATGCCATTCACCTCATGTGACTACCGTGGAGATGAAGATCTATCCACAGTGCCTGTAGACGTGTAATGAAAGTTCATCCTTTTGCCTTCCTTAAGACCACATTTGTTCTCTAGAAAACTTTGAGAAAATGGCACAATCCCACCCAATTCTATTGCATGTCTCCCACTCTTTTCTCCTATCTTGGTGTTAAGTGTTTTGATGCTTGCAGAAGATACTCTTTAGATATTTTTGTATTGCTCAGAGAGGGAGTTTAACACATATTCATTATATCAAGGCATGCTATGTAAATAGGACACCTAACTCAAAAGTTGGGGCCCATCATATTGTGCTGTGTTAAATCTAGAAATAAAGCAGTCTCCTGAGGCAGATAGAACTGTAATTCTCTCTAAATAGACAGGAAGCATATTAATACTTAAATTTATTCATGCAGTCTGAGAAGCTGTCAACCACAGCAAATAAAGTCAACTACTTTTAAAATTAGTCTCTGGAGAGTAGAGACCAGTCTTGCTTCATTGATGTTGCCTTCACATCTGTTCCACTTAATATGTGCTTTAAAAAATATATACACTGGCATCTTTTATGTTAAATGATTTAGAAGACTGTATTGAGAGTGCAATTTGAGATAAAGTGACTGCAATATATTCAATCACTATCAGACAATACAATTATAAGAAATTTAAATGTATAGAAAAATAAGTGAAAAGAGTAAGTATACTGAGAAGTGACAAAAGAGGATAAAGGACAGGAAAAAATATTTTTAGAAGCACATAAAACACATCAACAGCTCAAATATCAACATAGTTTCATTTGATCACCCTAGACTTCAGGGCATATCTTGGCAATTAAAATCCTTAGTTCTAAAAGGCAATTTCAAAAGAATATATATACATATATATGTGTGTGTGTATATGCTCGAGTATGTTACATTTCATATATGTGAGTATATGATATTTCAAATATATATACATACATTTCACATATATTTGAGTATATTACATTTATAACATATAGACATTTGACTAACATATATACTATAAATTTATAATGTATACACACACATATACAGTAATATACTCATCCTGTATACTATATTATTATTTATAGCAGGAAAATCATCTATAAATAATAAATAAGCATATGCCCAGCTATACTCAGTGCTGAGTCAACATCCTTGTTTAAAGCACTCTTTCAAAACAGAATTTTCTCAATAGTTCTGCTTGGACTACTTCTATTCCATAATCCACTCAACTACTTAGGAATAACTATACAATGAAGCCCCACTTATCCTAACTTACTTAGAAGGAAACCAATTTGAATTACAGAAAAAAATTTGAAAGTATAAAATGGATTTGGGTTCTAATAAAACAAACTCATAAAAATTGGCAGAGTGATCTATTATATTAAATCTGTTAACAGGCCAGGAACATTAGTAACTTTCATGTAGTATGTCCAAAGTATTCAAGATAACTTATTTTGAGTAGATTAAATTGGCCCTATTCTATCCTCATCTATTGTATTAATTTTCTTAGTAAAACTATTTTGGGGGGAGGGGCTTCCAGGAAGTTTACTGTTTCCCCCCCCCACAAAAATTATTTTATAAAATCTTTCAGTGCAATCTTCAGGAAACTCCCCACCCTCCCCAGCTGCCCCCTCCCCGACCTTTCTGTGTTCCCAC